ACGTAAGCATCTCTAAAATCCTGGTGCCCCCCCCCACATACAATTCGTATTATTCAAAAAGTGAACTCCTATACACGTAGAGGAAGCCTAAACGGCTGTTAATAACTCATTCTCAAATTGCCCCCTTAAAAATCAAATTGCCCCCTGTGTGGCGTGTGCCCCACGTCGGGAACCACGGCTTTAGACAAAGGGCGAGTGAGGGGAGACGTGCTAGAAGTTTGCAAAATTACGCATGGCATGGAGAGAGCGGATAGAGACACGTTTTCCACCCTTTCTCATAACCCCAGAACTCGTGGACATCCCAAGGAAGCTGAATGTTGGAAGATTCAGGAAGGATAAAAGGAAATGCTTCTTCGGGCAGCGCATAGATAAACTGTGGAACTCACTGCCGCGGGAGGCAAGGACGGCCACCGATTTGGATATGGCTTTAAACGAGGACGAGACCACGTCGAAGGGGCCAAAGGCGGCAAAACGCTCCTGAATCCCAGCTGCCTGGACCTGTTCCATCTCCTGAGAAGAGGATGCTGCATCCAGACTCATGGGCGCCGCCAACTATGCGCTGTTTCCTGGCCAAGGGGGCGGGTTGGGCGGGAACGTGAGATTGGCCTGTCTGGGTGGCGAGAGAGCGGAGGACCGAAAGTGAAAGCAGGGATCCGGCTGCCTCTTTCCTTCCAAGGCGAGCGGTTCCAGGAAATCAGCGCTTCTCACGCCCTGCTCGACAAAGATCTCCCTGGCAACCGTGAAGTCGAGGAATAACCCTCTCGTCTCCAGACAAAAATAGGGACTTTTTTCTGAATTCCCCTTGCAGCACTTTGATCCGAAACCGAATAAATTCCTCGTTAGTGTGCGTTGCCCCCGGAGTGGGGGTGGGCATCGAGTGGTTAGTTCGTTTTAATTCTATTTTCTTTTTTCCCCCGCCACGGTGGGGGAAAGGCGTTTGTGAGATTTTTCTGCCTCAGGGGCCAAATGAACTTGATTGGCCTTTGGTCTGAGTGGTGGAAAGGCACCATCTGCAGTCCCACTTAAAGCAGTGACATGTGCGCGGATGGGCTTTGAGTGTGTGTAAGAGTAATCGAATGGGAGAGTTGTGGGGGACGGGATGGGGGTGGCGCTGTGGCGGTTCAAATCCCCGCCACGGGGTGAGCTCCCATTGCTCAGTTCCTGCTCCTGCCAACCTAGCAGTTTGAAAGCACGTCAAAGTGCAAGTAGATAAATAGGTACCGCTCCGGCGGGAAGGTAAACGGCATTTCCTGGTTTGCCAGAAGCAGCTTAGTCATGCTGGCCACATGACCGGAAGCTGTACACCGGCTCCCTCGGCCTATAGAGCGAGATGAGCACCGCAACCCCAGAGTCGGTCACGACTGGACCTAATGGTCAGGGGTCCCTTTAGCTTTAGCTTTACATAAAATAAAAGGGGGCATAAAAGAAAAAGGGAGCTGTATGCCGGCTCCCTCGGCCTATAGAGCGAGATGAGTGCAGCAACCCCAGAGTTGGCCACAACTGGACCTAATGGTCAGGGGTCCCTTTACCTTTACTAGAGTTGGAGGGGACCCTGAGGGTCGTCTAGTTCAAACCCCCCCACCCCCCCGCAATGCAGGAATCTCAGCTAAAGCAGCCATGGGAGATGGGCATCCAAGCTCTCCTTAAAAACCTCCAAGGAAGGAGAGTCCAGAGGTCTGAGAAACGGTTCTGGAGTTTGTGGGAAATGCCCAAATACCTGTTCTGAAAAGTGCATGTACCAGGCAATACTTTTATTAAGCTAGCCCAAATGTCACAAATTGGTATGTGAACTTGAGTTTTCCAGAACATTTGGTAATTGAGGGTGAACTTGGCTGACATACAGTGGTACCTTGGTTGACGAACTTGATCTGTTCCGGAAGTCCGTTCTTAAACCAAAGCATTCTTTAACCAAGGCGTGCTTTGCCATAGCAGTGGGGGTCTCGGTTTACAAATGGTACACACTCAACATGTTCTGCTTCCAAGGCAAAGTTCACAAACCAAAACACCTACTTCCAGGTTTGCAGCATTTTTAATCCAAGTTGTTCATAAACTAAGCTGTTCTTATACCAAGGTACCACTGTATCTGGAATACCCAAGTCGACAGTGCCGTTTCCCCATAAAAATAGTTCAAAAATGGCATTTTGTTCAACTTTTCTGATGGGATTTTCAGTTTGAAATATGTCTACCTTATCAGATACGGGGTCTGCAGGTTCCCCCCTCCCTGACTGGTGTTTTATTTGTGGGGTGTATCCTGCAATGTGCTCTCTACACAGTAAGAGTGCATTAGTGACAGATATGTTCTGCTCTGCTTCCTAGTGCTTCCACATTATTGCTGCCTGGAGGAGCTATAGCGCAACAAAAGTGGGAGAAAAATAAACCACAGCACTGATTATATGTATTGCCGGATATATTACCACATATGGCCAGTAATTGGTGCTTCCTGGTTTCAACGCTTATTGTAGCTTTAAATCTTTATATATTTATCTGTATAGTGAGTGTATCCTCATACACGCAACTTATAATGAGGAATTGACGCAAGACGTCACTCTGTCTATATAATTAGGACCACGTATCATATAGATAATAGGTTGTCCCTCGCTTTGTTATCTAATGAGAATTTGGCCAACTGTCAGGCACCTGCCTAGTTTGACAATTATTGTGCCCGAGACATGAAATGTATCGTATTTTCGCTCTATAACACGCACCCGACCATAACACGCACGTAGTTTTTAGAGGAGGAAATCCATAGGCATGCCACCCGTAGGCATTCCCTCCATAACACGCACAGACATTTCCCCTTACTTTCTAGGAGGAAAAAAGTGAGTGTTATGGTGCAAAAAATACGGTATTTGGCTCAGCCATAAGGACTGCCTACGCCTTGAACCCCCCACGAACCCTGCTCTGTGCCAACAGGAGAGATAAGGCACACACTTGCACCCACTCCCAGGCCCCATTGGAGGAGGACAGCTGCTGATCTTCACACTACTTACAACCTAGAAGAGTACAGTGGTACCTCGGGTTACATACGCTTCAGGTTACAGACTCCGCTAACGCAGAAATATTACCTCAGGTTAAGAACTTTACCTCAGGATGTGAACAGAAATTAAACGCCGGCGGCAGCGGGAGATCCCATTAGCTAAAGTGGTGCTTCAGGTTAAGAACAGTTTCAGGTTAAGAACGGACCTCCAGAACGAATTAAGTACTTAACCCGAGGTACCACTGTATAAGGCAACCGCATTTGGTGGAGACCAACAGGATCTCATAATGGGGGAAAATGCCAGTACAGTGGATGTTGGCAAACTGAATTTTAAAAAGGCAAAATAATATCAGAATTGTAGCTGTCAGGGATGCACAAGGGTAACGCTTAGGAACTTGGCAAAGTAATTTTTTATATTATGAATTTTTATATTATGGATATATGTTCTGTATTATTTTATTAATACTAATACAAGTTAGTCATGGCCTTTGGCTAAAACAACAAACTTACGAGCTAAAGAACCTTTTGCTCTGCTGTGCACAAGCCCTATGTCTTACCCTCCCACTTTGCTGCTCCTGATATAACTCAACTTCACCTCGGTGCAGAAACTCCTCCTCACCTTTTGCAGATTGGGAGTCAACCCTGGTTTCAAACTCTGGCCCCATTGCATGTGAGATTTGAGACTTTCTATCAGGCCAGGGTTTCTCCAGCAGACTCTGTGCTTCTGACTGACTGGAAAATAGATGCTGGGGCCTATAAGTAGGATTTGGGGCACACAGCTGTTACAAAAAGCAAATTCAGATAGCATGACATTTTTGTGGATATTGTACATCTTTGTCCAGGCTGGCATAGTGGTTAAGAGAGTTGAACAAGGACCTGGGAGACCAGGGTTCGAATCCCCACATGACCACGACACTTGGGTGATGACCATGGGGCATTCAAAGCCTCCCACAGCCTAACCAACCTCACAGGGCTGTTGTGGAGATTCAGTGAGGAGTATGCCACCTTGAATTGCTTGGGAGAATAAAGTTAAATAAATAAATAAGCCACCTCTTCTCCCATGCCACAAGAAAATTTAATGAAACACACAATTAAAAATGCAATGTTGTGAACTCCAGAATTATTTTATTATTTTGCCAGACATTTATTCACGTAAAAAACAAGAAAAAAACAAGTGTGCAGTACAAGATCAAAGCAAACAGGCGTATTTCAAATCCAGCGATTAAACCTACCCTCAGATGTGACGGTCAAATTTGTTAGCTTCCATGCGCTTACAATCTGCACCCAACCACATTTTCAGGTCAAGTCTGTGGTAAGCATCATTCTACTAATACTGCAATATGGCACTCAGGCTACATCAACACAGCAGCTTTCTTTGTGATAGTGGCTTTGGTGTGACCTGAGGCACTGTATGGCAAAAAGTTCTTTGTAGGCAACAGGCATGCAAGTAGCTAACTGGCTTCGTAAAGAGGTTGCCTTTGACAAACACAGCACTATTATAAGGTGTTCAAGGAAATCTGCACACAATCTGCATCTTCAATACACTCTTGGAAGACATTCTTGCCTCCCACTCGCAAGTGGAATTTTTTTACAGCTTCCTTTTTGCTTATTAACTTAATAATACAAATGTCAGGGAAGAAGAAAAAGGAAGTGTCAGTTCCGATGAGGAGGGTGGGGAAATCCTGGCAAATATGTTAATATGTGGGTGTTTCAGGGAACAACAGAAGCTAAACTAGGGGACACCCAAATGCCCTGGCTAACACACCATCAACTACACGCCTTCTTAAACAATCAAGTAGTAAAATCAACAGCTACTAGGCCCTTGACCACCTTCGAAAACCTTCTCCTAACAACAACAGGACATGACAAGGGGATGGTATCCACAATATACAATATACAGATGGTACCTAACACCACAGAAACTGGTGCTGATATGTCCAGGAACCTCGCCAAAATGCTGGAGAGGCTCGACCTCCACAGGCACATACCTCCACATGTGGTGGGAATTCCCCCAAACCCAACTCTTCTGGACAACAGTCATACAAGGAAGAAGCAAAATAACTAAACAGGTACTAGAAGTCACCCCAGAACTGGCCCTATTAAACATCTTCCAAGATAGCAATGCCCACTCACACTATAAAGAGCTCATATCCCACCTACTCTCAGCAGCCAGAAACATCATAGGCAGACACTGGAGGGACCTGTCAGGAATAAACATGGAACACTGGTATCAAGTAGTATGGGAAACAGCCTTACTAGAAAAGTTAATCAATAAACTGAGACTGAAACTGACACAGGGAGAAATAGAAGAGGATGCCTTCACTCCAGGATGGCTCCCCTTTATCATATACAAAGCCCAAAAAGACGACAACACAAATCCACCAACAGCATACGATTCAATATGGCTAACTTAACCCAACAAGCGCCTTATAGAGTTAGAAGCCAGGAGTCCAAGAAGTTTGGGGCGAGTACCAGGCAAACAAAATGAGGCAACTTCTACCAGACCACCCAACACCTCGGCTAACCAAGATGGCTTCTTGATATTTTCAGTCTGCTGTCTCAGCTGATTAATCTCCCCATTTAGTCGATTTGCTTCTTTAAGGAAACCATCCTTCAGCAAAGCCTCTTGCTCCTGCAAAAAGAGAGAGCATTCACATCAAAAGCCACGGGGTGTGATTCGGCTTTCGGTGTGTTTAAGAATACTTCCAGCTAAACTGAAAGGAAAAGCTTTCTTCTACTGTTCTAAAGAAGGCATCTAATTGAATGGAATTTAAGTTTTTAACATCATTGTCTGCCACTTGACAGTCAAAGGGATGGCTCAGATCACAATGAACTTCCTTCCAACCCCAGAAGCTTCACTCCACAGTTAAGTGTGTCTCGCAAGGATGCCTGACCAGGAAAAACACTGCTAAGTAAATTAGATAGGGGCCCTGGGCTTGTGAGGAAGAGGGCTAACACTCCCCTGAGCCTGACTTGATCCATTTTATAAGGAAGCACAGAAATCCAGAACCACCCAAACTAGCGTTCTTGTGTTTGCTTGTTGCAAGTAGAGAAGAGGCCCAAGATGGGCCTGTGATAGTTACCCTGAGTTTACTCTCCATCATCATATTCTGCTCTTTCAGTAGATTGTCCCTTTCTTTCACCACCTTCTCCTCCAGCTGACAGATGTTCAGCTCGTAGCTCCGTTTCTCATCCTCCATCTTCTGTTCCAGCTCAGCTTGCTTCTGCTTCTGGATCTCCTGCTCTCGCTGTGCAGCTTCAGCCTTTGCCTTCGCCTCTGTCCCGGGAATGAAAAAAAGGAAGAACGAATAACTGCAGGTGTTTCTGCAGTGTCACAATATATTGTTCTACGGTTACTGACTGCTATGTTTGGGTTTGGCAAAAATAGGATTAATGGGGCCAGGATTACTGCTTGAAGTTTGTTAATGCTCATATCTGTTTTTGGAGAAAGCAAGAAGCTCCAAAGCAACTAGAAAATAGAAAAGTAGTAGCAGAAATAAATACTCCAGAGCAGTAGTCTGTGGGACGGATTCAAGTGAATACAGTCATACCTTGGGTTACAGACTCATTCACATCCCACAATTTTCAGGTTGCATTTTTTCGGGTTACGGACCCACCGAAACCCAGAAGTACCGAAACGGGTTACTTCCGGGTTTTGGCAGTCGTGCATGCGCAGAAGCGCCAAATTGCAACCTGCGCGTGCACATTCAAGTCAATTAATGAATTTTGTTGCCCTAGAGCAAGAATTCCACTTAAAAAAGAAACTTTTTCTGCTGCTAGGAAAGTGACAGGCAATTGAACTGAAAATTCTGGGATGTGAATGAGTAAAAGGGAAAATGTATAAGCACCCTACAAGCAAGTCAGGATGAATGTTCAATTTCGTAAAGAAATCACAATGAATGCTCAGCAAACGTTGGATCTAATCAAACCTCTGCAAAAGCTTTCTGCAAGCAGATATTATTATTATTATTATTATTATTATTATTATTATTATTATTTATATACAGCCCTATACCATCAGCCTTAAAAAGCACATAGAGCTGAAAGAGAAAATGGGAGAAAATGTCTCTTTTTCCAACATGCTTCTATGTCATTTTCAAGGGGTAAAAAGATAACCACACCCACAACCTCATGACCAAGTGGGCAGCATGTGGGTGTTAGGATATTTCCGTTCCACCTTAAGAAGGGAGCAGGTTGTTGTGTCGCAGCCTGCGTATTTCCTGTTCACAGGATGTTTCAGTTTTTGTATATAGCTTTTGTCATGTTTTTCTTTGTTCTGCCCAATGCTGAATAAAGTTGTAAATAATGCTCTCCTGAGTGCAACTTTCGTTGTGCGAACTCTGCAAAGGGCGTGCACCAGTCCTTGGAATGTGGACAGATGTTTCTGAGGCTTGTGTCGCTAATTGACTGATACTGCGTTTTCTACGGGAGATCGATGGATCGTCCGGAGACGGCGTGGGGGCATGATGGCCTTTGTCTCCCTGGCAGTATCCCAACAGTGGGGAGGCCCAGAGTCTACATGGGCCCCAGGGGAAGACCTCCAGGGAGCCACATTGTTGTTGGCCACTGCCCCATGCATGCTACTTTCCCATCCCCTTACCTGCCATTTCCTTCTCTTTCTCTGACAGAGCTTGATCACTTAGCAGTATGGCTCTGCTGACATTCTCCTTCTCCTTGAGGAACTGCTGTAGGACTGTCTCTGCCTGCAACAGAAGAGTCAGCAGAGTGAATGAAGAGAGGCCGGCTAAAACAGATTGGGTCCCCCGCCTGCTTCAAGTTTCCCATTTTTGCTTAATAAGGTGAGAAAGGAGAAATACAAATGCATGAACATTTCTGCAGTGATGTTAATAGTAAAGAGGAAGGGAGACTGTCTGAAGCATGGACTGTGAGAAGATAGCTGGCCCAGATGGCATTTGACTCCCTGGCAGGCACCCTTTTCATTTCAGGCACAAAGTAGATCTCAACCTACATCTAAAGGCTGTGGACTTCCTTCTTCTATTTCCTCTGTATTAAAAAGGACTCCTCCTGGACTGTTAAGTCCAGTCAAAGGCGACTATGGGGCTGCAGTGTTCCTCTTGCTTTCAGGCTGAGGGTGCCAGCATTTGTCCACAGACAGCCTTCTGGGTCATGTGGCCAGCATGACTAAACCACTTCTGGTGCAAAGGAACGCCGTGACAGAAACCAGAGCGCACGGAAACGCGGTTTACCTTCCTGCCACAGTGGTATCTATTTATCTACTCACACTGGCATGTTTCTGAACTGCTTGGTTGGCAGGAGCTGGAACAGAGCAATGGGAGCTCATCCCATCGTGGGGATTCGAACCGCTGACCTTCTGATCAGCAAGCCCAAGAGGCTCAGTGGTTTAGACCACAGCACTACCCGTGTCCTCTGTATTATTCATCCCTAGAATTGTGGCCCTCTAAGAGCCTAAGCAGATATGTTGAGGGATGCCTGTGACTGGATCTGCTAGCATTCTGAAAGTTACTTAACACTGCTGGGGACTGCACATCATATCAGAGCAGCCAGGATGGAAGAAAAGGTCATCTGCTTTCCTGATCTAAACAGCCCTTCAAATATCCCATAACGCAAGGATCTCTCAGTGCCACTGTGTTCTACTCCAATCTGCAATCTCTAGCAATTGATTTTAAGTAAAATTCAAAGCACTGTGGACTTCCTGTGTCACATCTATATAGGTCCTAAATCGGGAAGCTCAGGCACATTGCTAGGGGAAGCAGAACAACCTCCCACAATCTCTCTCCCAGTCTACTTTTTATATGTGTTGACTGGACCAGGAATCTGAGCTTGTTTCAGCTGTATGCCTTTCTGTTTCCTACCGGGTTGAACAATGAGCTATTAGACTGCAGTCAGACAAGCCTTAATTTTTCATGGATTCAGAATTGTAAAAATGGTGCAATTGTGTAGCAAGAGTTGTTGTTATTTTATACCCTGCCCATCTGGCTGGGTTTCCCCAGTCACAATTTCAGTAGCCAATCTCCAGCTCTGGTACTCAGATATGAACTTTGCACCTATTTCAGCCACACCTATGAAATGTGTTTCAGGTATTGGCAATTTGAATTCTGAGAAAACCATGATTTGGAGTGCACCCCCACCCTCCAATTAGCCGAGCTTTATAATGCCCCTTTAAGATGTTCATTCAGCAGCCCTCGCACTTCCTCACCATCACTCCTTTCTTCTGTTCTTGGTGGTATCTCTGTTCCATTTCCTTCAGGTCATCCGAAAACAGCTTGTGACCGCCAGGACAGGAGTAAACCCCTTGTTTGATCTTTTCCTCCAGCTCCCCAGACAAGGACATCAACACAGCCCAACAGAGTTTTGAAGATTCCTGCTCATTCTTTTGGCAGAAGCCCTCCTTCATCTGGTCCATGGTTTTCTGGCAACACAAACAAAATAAAGCTGAGACATAGCTAAGCACTTCGAAACATTTCTAGTCTGGGAGAACAGACTTTGTGCGCCCAGATTTATTTTCAGAATAAAATTGTTCAAGACATTTCTTAACCACCCTCCACCAAAAGATTCCCGTGTGGTGGACAAAAATCTGAATATTTGGGTATAATATACAGTTTGCAGCATGGGAAAAACTATGGAAAGAGGATCAAAACTTCAACAGAGAATGGGACAAATATAGATTGTACTTGAAAGACCACTGTAAACACTTGAACTCTTGAATAACTGTTGCAATGATATACAGTGCTACCTCGGGTTAAGAACTTAATTCGTTCCGGAGGTCCGTTCTTAACCTGAAACTGTTCTTAACCTGAAGCACCACTTTAGCTAATGGGGCATCCTGCTGCTGCCGTGCCACCGCTGCTCAATTTCTGTTCTGATCCTGAAGCAAAGTTCTTATCCTGAGGTACTATTTCTGGGTTCTGTAACCTGAAGCGTTTGTAGCCTGAAGCGTATGTAAACCGAGGTACCACCGTATAGACTTTGGATATAATGGAGGACTGTAAATTGGATGGAATATGCAGCTGGAAAAGTTTTTCAATGAACCCACAGAGAGGAAGAAGGAAGTCCTGGGATTCGAAACAATCTTGTGTTAAATTTTAATATTTGCAAGAATAGTTTTCTGTGAATGAACTTGTAAAACAAAATTTAAAAATTCATTAAAAAAACAAAAAAATGAATAAATTCAATGTACACTACATATAAATATTTCAAACCAACAAATAAGCCAAGACAAGCCATTTCAGTCTGAGCCATCCAAATGAAATGCAAATAGTTCTCCATCCGTCCAGGCTTAACATGCTTGCTCCATGTTTGTTTTGCAACCAGACCGACACTCTCAATGTATCACCTCTTAACACGAAGATATCAAGGGACAACCTACCATGAGTTCCACCTGGAACCGTTGTTGGTCAACCTTGAAGGCACGAGCCAGGAACACCTGCAGGGCCTCCTTCTCACACTCGGCATGGATCCCCAGCAGCTCCTGGACCGTCTCCGTAGGAAGCTTCAGCTTTTGATCCATCAGCTCCCCGTAGCGCACAGTAGCATCATGGATAGCAGCCGAGTTCTCAATCTCAGCCAAGGCCAGCACTGCGCTCTCCATGCAAGGAGCTTGCCCACTGCGAATTGTGTCCACATAGGTTGTCACTAGGTTTGCCAGCACTACCAGGGGGGAAAAAGAAAAGGAGCTAGTTGTGGGAAGACACACTGAACTGCCTGTGCTCAGAGTGGCCCATTGCAAGGCAAAACCAAGTAGCTAGGATGGTGGGCCAGATCCCAAGCTCCTCCCTGGGGCAATTATGGCAGGTGCACAGGGCCATCCAGCTGCCAACCAGCTAGTCTGAGGAGGACTACACAGTTACCAGGACTCACAGCGGCCATTGACAAGGTGTCCTCCGGGGATGGTCTTTTCCTTGGATGAAGTATAGATGTATCGGCAGAACTGGCCAGCTTGTTTCACAAAGTCGGGATCCAGCTGGCTCTCCTGCATCGACTCCAGATGGGGCAGTTCCTTCCCAGTAGTGGGGCAGTAAAAAATGAAACACTTGCGAGTGGGGAAGAACATCCGGATGCATTTGCGAGGCAGGTTGTACAGCTGAACATCAGAGGCATCGCCTGGAAGGAAGAAGATGGAGATGTTAGCTATTTTCCAGAGTCATGCAGGGGTTTCACCCTCAAAGCCTTCATGATGAAGTAGGCTCCAGACACAGGACTCTGAAGACGACTCTTTACTTGCAGGTTGGCAGCTGTTAACAATCAGTATTATTTGTGCATATAAAGTCGAATACAATGCATTTGAGCCCAAGAGAGGAACTTCTTGCTTCAAAAACTCTTTCATAGCCATGTATAAGACAGCCTTTCTCAACCTGTGGGTCCCCAGATGTTGCTGAACTACAACTCCCATCACTCCTAGCTCAGGGATGATGGGAGTTGTAGTCTAACAACATCTGGGGACCCACAGGTTGAGAACTGCTCAGTGCCCGATTTGTCCTCTAGACACAGCATCTGCTTGAAGTTTCCACACTCCCATGTTGTTGTTGTTGTTGTTAGTCAATGAAACAACAAGACAACCTCCAACTCCCTCCCCTCCTATATAAAAAACACACTCACTTTTAAAGGGACTTAACAAATTAACAAGGCAATGAGTCAGCATTTCTGTGACCTTAATCGGAGTCACAAGATTCTGCAGCTGTTACATTACATAGGTTTTCTTTCCTCCCAGTACAAATCACTCTTTGTAAAATACATTTTCTAACAAATACAGTACCAGTACAAATATTAACAGGAGATGGGGAGCTTGTGGGTAAATCTGAAATGGCACATGGAAATGCAAAGATACTAGTAGGTTGGAACATGGAAGAGGAAAAGTGAGATTTGAGCAAGGCGGATATTTCATACTACAGAAGGGAAGGCATACTATACTTCATGGTTATCCTTATTAAGTACATAGGCACACAACCCTTTCCGCTCTTCCTTGCTTCCCCCCCATTCTGACTCTTAGATCTAACTTTAGATGGCAAGCCTATAGACATGAGTTTCTAAGTTTCCAAGTTTCTGCGTTTCTAAGTTTTAAGTAACAGCTAGTAATTTCAGATTCATTATGAATTTTGAGTGTTTTTAAATATATACAGAGGTACCTTGGGTTACATACGCTTCAGGTTACAGACTCCGCTAACCCCAAAAAAGTGCTTCAGGTTAAGAACTTTGCTTCAGGATGAGAACAGAAATCGTGCTCCGGCGGCACAGCAGCAGCGGGAGGCCCCATTAGCTAAAGTGGTGCTTCAGGTTAAGAACAGTTTCAGGTTAAGAATGGACCTCCGCAACGAATTAAGTACTTAACCCGAGGTACCACTGTATACTAAAAACAACAGTCTCATGCACTTTAAAAACTAGCAAGTGTGTTATGGCATAAGCCTACTCTCTCAGGTGCATGGAATGTTATCCCAAGTTGGCAGATATATACACACATGCAAGTTACATAGCTGGGTTAGCCAGCCTAGTGCCCTCTAGGTATCATGGGACTGCAACTCCCATCATCCCTAAGCAGTGTCCATGCTGACTGGGGCCTACCAGAGCTGGCTGTTTGTGGGGGTAACGCTCCGTTTTGCAAAGGCAAACCTCGCACAAAGACGTGCCACAGCATGTCAATGTTACGCTTGCTTCCCTGACCTTTTGCCTTCTTGGCTAGAAAACAGGGTTTCCCCCCTGACCTTTTGTCCTTTCACAAACTGTTTGCTTAGACATATCGCTTGGCTGGAGCATGGCAGGGAAAGCAGGTGTTATCAAGTATGGGGGGAGGACATTTGAGGGAAACACCTGCTGACATGTGTATTTGTTAATGCTGGAAATGTGCTTAGATGGAAATATGTTAAAGTTCAGGGTGGTTTCACTACTGCTTTCCAGCTGTTGATTTTTGCCAATAAAAGAGGCTCTGCCAAGCTAGCTGATTAGCTTGCTTCCGCATAGCTCACCCGCACTCAACCTGTCGTCTCAGTTATTCTACAGCTGTTAGTAAGTTTTGTGCAGAGGAAAGCTGCAACTGTTTCAAATAAATGTGATGTGTATAAGTGTTGGAAATGTAAAGAAAAAGAAGGTACTTTCTATCATATGTGGTGGGAGTGTAAAAAGGTGAAAGGCTTCTGGGAAATGATATACAATGAATTGAAAAAGATGTTGAAATATACGTTCGTTTCAATATGCAGTGACTGCCGCAAGGATACTTCTGGCCTAAAGGTGGAAACAGAAAGAAATTCCAACAGTGGAAGATTGGAGAAGGAAATTGACTGAATATGCAGAATTGGACAAATTGACTGGGAAGATTCGATACCAGAAAGACCAAAAGTTTATCGAGGACTGGGGGAAATTTACAGAATATCTGAAAAATATATGTGATGCACAGAGAACGCTTGTTGGTTTTGAAGAGACTCTGTGAAATAGTAAGAAATACTTCAAAAAAGAGAGTAAGAGGAAAAGGAGTGGGGAAAGGCAATATCATGTTTAGAAATGCGTCAATAAATAGAAATTTTTCGAAAGACTGACAGAGGAACTGAGGGAAGTCAAAAATTGAAACATGAGTGTAAAATTGTTGACTGTATAAAAATTGTTTGGAAAATGAATAAAAATTATTTTAAAAAAATAATGTGATGTGTAAACACATCAAACGTGCTTTGAAACACAACTCTGCTAGGTAGTAAAGACATGACGTTAACACATCTAGACTGGTATTAAACTAAAGCCACATTCACACAATACTTCAAAGCACTATGATACCATTTTGACCAGTCATGGCTTCCCCCAGAGAATTCCGGGAACTGGAGTTTGTTAAGGGTGTGAAGAGTTGTTAGGAGACCCCTAATCTCCCCCAAAAGCTACAATTCCCAGAGTGGTTTAACAACCAATACTCCTTCCCAGGGAACTCTGTAGTCTGGGAAGGGGAAGAGCAGTTTTCCAACACTTCTCAGCACCTTTAACAAACAGCACTTCCTGGCATTCATTGGGGGAAGCCATTGAATTCGCCCGCCACTGTCAGTACCTTTCTTTAATTTCAAGGAATGTTCCAGATACTCGTCTTCAGTGATGGGGTGCCCATCCAGCTCCAGCTGCAAGGTGAAATCCCGCAAGGCCCAGACGAAACTTGGGAAGAAGCGGACAAACTCAGCAGAGTCTTCCAGTCCCTCACTGCCGCCCCCGGGGGACGATTTGGCTTTGATGCGCTCCGTGAGCTCTGTCACATAGCTGTTGGCCAGGTTTAGGAATCAAGAGACCAGTTGCCCGCACAGGGGGAGAACAAGCACCCCCTCAAAATACCCCCACCATGCAATACAGAACAGACAGTTCAATGCAAATGAAAAAGGTTCCATACCTTTAAACTGCTGCATATTTTGGAGCGCCGGTAGGTCTTGACCCATGACTCCATTGCTGAGATTGAAAGTCCCCACCTCCCCATAGCAGTCTAAGCCCCTCCTCTCCAGGGCTTTCCCCAAACAATCAGAGACTGCGCCTGCATGCAACTTGCCGCTGCTCTGCCCATTTCAGCCCTCTTTTGGTTCTGGGAGACAAGTGGGGAGGGAAGATTGTAGCAGCAGTACGGGGAGACTCCTGTGACTTTTCATCGACCTGATACCTTCCTCTTGGTGTCCTCCCACTCGCCGGCTTGGCTTCTGCCTTTGATTGTGGACTGCTCTCTGCCACAGATTCTTCCTGCTCACTGAACCCTGTTACCTCCTCATCTTCTTTTGTTTTCTGTTTTTTATGTATATAATTTTTATTAAATTTTCTGTTTTACAATTTCAAATTCTCATTTTACATCCTTAAGATATCAATGACTTCTCTTCTCTTTCCATGGTTCATTTTACATATCTTAAATCCCTGCATATTTTACAAAAAACTATACCAATCAGTTTACTGTTATTGCATCCATCAAAACTCATTTACACTGTTGAATTTATCTTAATGTTGCCAGCGTTTTCAGCTGGGCACAATTATTTTCCATATATTCAATAAACATTTTCCAATCTTCTTTAAATGTATGTTCTTCTTGATCTCTTACTCTATATGCTAAGCCTGCAGGTTGTGCATATTTTGTCAAGTTAAGTTGGCATTCTTCTTTGCTTGGAACCTCACTTGCTTTCCATTTTGGGGCTAACATAACCTCCTCATCTTCTGAGACTTCCTCTTCCCAGTCTGACTCCTCCTCTTCTAAGTTATTACCAACTTTGAACGGTATGATTTACTGCTGGCTTGCTCTGTGGACTTGTGGGTTGAAAAAAGGTTGAAAACCTAACACTACAAAGGCTAGAGTTGCACCCGTTGTTCTGCACACTCTCGTCTCTGGCCCCACCCACCACTGACACATGGCCCCTGGAAGGTTGCACATAAAATAAGTTTCCTACCGAACTTCCGGGTTAGCGCCATCTGACAGGAGGAACTGGCTCCGTGGAAACTGGGTCTCCCGCCGCGGCGAAGGTGGGGACCCGCTAGAAATCCCAGGTGGAGGAAGCCTGGGAACGTGCGGTTTGGCAGGGCACCATTTCGGGGTTCCGGAGTGAAGTGGGGTGAGCGGCACGGTGCTGCGAACTGACTGCTACTTTCACGGAGTGAAGCCGCACAGCCATTGCCGGAGAGCGCTGACTTTTTCCTGTGGACAATTGGACTCTAAACAAGTACCCGTGAGTAGAAACAGAAAATTGGATCAAGAAACATCTTAATCTGGCACCGAAGCAGGAAGGTTCAAAACAGGAAGTCCGCCTTCTGCTTTTGTAAATAGACTGAAGCAAAAACCTTGCAAGCTAAAGCCTGGAAAGTCGTTTATAAAGGTCTAAATTTCCTTCATTTATAACCACTAAAACCCCCTTGGAAGCAGGAGAAAAGGGGGGGATTTGATTGTTCAAGCCTGCAGGAGAGGGAGTAAAGAAAGATAAGTTTCAAACCTGGGAACGGGGTGTCAGAGATAGAAATTGTTGGAGACGTTTCATTGGCTGATAGCTAAAAAAGAGAAACAAACTGATTCCAATGTTGCCTTTTGCATTCTAAAGAAACAAAATCTTTCAAAATGAGAGTAACTTTCCTTTGTTGGACTTGCTGGAAAAAGATGGATACAAATAGAAATTGTCTCCTCTAGAGGGAGCTTGTTAAATTGTTGCTGCAGTCTACTTGGGGACTTCACAGCTGTGAGATTAAGATCGTGGGACCAGTCCTTTGGCCTTGAATAAAAATGTGTTGGGAGGAAGTTTTGGTGCTTGCTTTTTGCAAGACAAGTGCTTTGTTGGAGCAGATGCATGAGAAGATTGATTTGATGAATGAGAAGATGGATCTGATGACTGTTGTAGTCAGTAACGGCGGACAAACAGGGAATATTGATACAGAAATCATTCAGGCACCAACTCAGGAACCTGTTTTGACTGGGCAAGTGCAAGTGCAGAAGATAATGGAGGAGGTTGCGGTTGCACCTCAAGCAATACAAATGGAGAGATCTGAGGCCCTGCAGGAGCATAAGCCGCAGCCTTTGAAGATTGAATTTGGAGTGGGCCAGGGGCGTTTGGAGCTGAGGAGGCTCTTAACTTCGGAGGGACTTTGTAACATGCTTTTAAATATTTTTTTGATTACATTGATGACTGTGGGGAGTGGGACTGTGGGGAATGGGCTGGTCTGATGAGGGGAGATGGAGATAATTTTGGGCTGGAATTTCCCAGAGACCTACTCCTCAGTGAGAAAGGAAAGAAATTAAGAAAGAAACCAACAAAAGACAAGGAAAAGTGCAGGTATAAACAAGAAGAAGATCTGCCGAAGAGCCTCGGACGTAAGATTACCAGGTTGATGGACTAGATGGAATGGACAGTAAGGACTGACATAACCCGAGACCAGGAAAAAGAGACGCTGGATGAAGATTGGAAGAAAGTTTATAAAGAAAAAATTTTATTTAGGGAACTAGTGTAAAATTAATGAATATTAGGGGAAATGTCGGAATGAAACTATTTGGCTTTAGTAGAAATGATATAAGGAGTTATGTATAAATAAGTATTAAGTTCTAAGGTATTTTAAGGTAAGATAAGGTTAAATTAATTAAGGCAAATTGAATAACAGAATATGGTGAAAGATGGAAAGGATTTGCTGAGTTACTTAATAGGTTAGACTGTTAAGATAAATTACTCAATAAAAATTAAGAAAGATGGAAAGAATTTGCTGAAACAACTAATTAAACTAGAATACAAAAAGGGAGGTGTGAGGAGGTCAATGAAACAAGCAAATGAAAGATAAAGATTTGCAATAAGGGATTTGTGTTTTTTCCTTTTTTGTTGTTGTGGTATTGATGTATTGGGTTTTATGTATCTTTTTCCCCCCTTGTTTTTCTTTTTTATGTATTGTAGTGTTGTTTCCTTTTCTTTTTTTCTTTTTTGTAATTTTGAAACTTTTAATAAATATTATTTTTAAAAAATGAAAAAGATTTCCTACCACTCTAGAGTAACAAGAGGCAATGTCCTAAGGAGAGAGAGCCAGTACAGCACTTCTCCAAACTCCCTCCAGCAAATGAAAATCAGAGTTAGTGCTTGGGAAGGATACTGAAGCTGATTCATAGCTTGCTGGTCAATGACACCAAAACTGTTGTAGACCAGGGTGCTGCTCAGGAGCACAGCCAAAGCGAAGATCCAGGTGTCGTTTTGAGTGTCGCCCTAAGAAAGGAGGAAGAAAGCCGTTAGGTTCTGCTTCTCCCCTTCCACCACAGTGTTGCTGCAAATATTGTTCACAGAATCATAGAACTGATTCTATGACCCTAAGGATCATCTGGTCCCAACCCCCTGAGATGCAGGAATACAATGCGGCTGTCCCATACGGGGATCGAACCTGCAACCTTCACGTTATCAGCTCCACGCTCTAACCAACTGAGCTGCACAATACATAAGTACTGATTCATTCTCAAGTTATTTGTTGCTTTTACTTGGCCCTGGGAAAGCTGGCGTAGCGGGCTAAGGACTGCCGCTGACGCAGTTGCACAACTGAGAACCAAAGTGCTGTTGGTGCTGGGCTGTCCCTAAACTCCCTTCCTTTGAGCCCCGATTCTGGGTTGTTAACAGCCGCTAGTCACGTCAAAATCAAGCAGGGAAAGCTTTGCCCAACACTTGTTCCTATGCCAGAGAAAAGCTTCCCAAGGTTTATTATTGTTATTATTATTATTTTATACCCTGCCCATCTGGCTGGGTTTCCCAAGCCACTCTGGGAGGCTTCCAACAGAATATTAAAAATACAACAAAACATCAAACATTAAAAACTTCCCTAAACAGTTTCTGTTCCTCAGGCTGATGCTATTGTTGCCGGAAATAAAGTGGCAACGCTAAAGCACAAGTGTGCAAGGAAGTTGAGAAATACCATTGGCATAGCGATGTTTGCTCATGTAGGCTCGCGCTTGTCCTTTGCTATCCCATTCCATTGTGGATGGGAAAGCAATAAGCACCAGATTCACACTATAGACCTTCTTTCAACTCTCAACTTCAACTGACTAGAAATTACATAAGTGGTGCTGAGCCACCAAAATCCCAGCAGCCAAAATAATTACCGTATTTTTCGCTTTATAGGACACTCTGGACCATAGGACACACCGGACCATGGGGGGGGAGAACAGGGAAAAAAAATTTTCTGGTTCTGCCCATCTAAAACAAGGTGTGTTCAAGGCGCGTTCAGAGCAGGTCGGGGAAAAGCGCAAAGGCTGCATGCAGCCTTGCCGCTGCCCCCCGAGCTTGTGGGGCTGGCAGTGGGGGGAAGCGCCGTTCAAAGTTGGTGATAACTTAGAAGAGAAGGTGTCAGACTGGGAAGAGGAAGTCTTCAGCTGCACTCCAAAGGCTTGAGGCTTCGGGGACATCCTTTGTGAAGGCACCCCGCTGCCCTGCAGAGGCTTTGCGCAGCCATCCCGAAGCTAGAACAGTGAAACGGAGGGCTGCGAAGTGCCCCGTCTCACTGTTTTGGCTTCGGGGACAGCCTTTCAAGCCTCTGCAGGGCAGAAATTCAGCAGGTGCGCCATCCAAGAGTTCAGAATTACCTTTTCCACATCGTCTAGTCCCTCTGTATCCAGAAGCACAAGGGTTTGACCAGGCCTGCCAGGGTAAGGGACGCACCACATCCAGATTCCCTTGGTCTTCGACTGCACCGTAGAACCCAGGGGGAAACCTAACCATGGAGATAACCAAATTTTCAGGATTTAGGAAGCCAGAAACATGTGAGCTAGTAAAATCAGGGAACGGGGCTGATGCCTTTCTCTTGGAAGGCTCTTATGTCTTAAACAGATTATAAGTGACAACATTTCAAGAGTGTAGATCCCTCTCCCACACAGGGGGGTGGGGTGGTAGGAAAAGAGGGGATCTGTTTAGGAAACTAGAAAGCTTCCTGACACTGAATCAGCCCATCTAACCCAGTATTGACTACCCTGACTGACAGCAATTCACCAGGATTTTCAGACTAGGAGCATTCAACCTGGGAACTTATACATGCAGATCAGATACTCTACTAATATTCTACATTTTCCAAAGAGATGTACCAGGAAAACTAGGATTAGAGTCATGCTGGACTCCTGTGGAAGTTGTGTCCAAATTGTTGCCTTGGAACACATTAACTGTCCTTGAATTGTTGTTGTTGCTGTTTATACGCCACCATCTGGCTGGGTTTCACCAGCCATTCTGGGTGGCTCCCAACAGAATATTAAAAACACAATAAAACATCAAACACTAAAAACTTCCCTAAACAGGGCTGCCTTCAGATGTCTTCTAAAAGTCAGATAGTTGTTTATTTCCTTGACATCTGAAGGAAGGGTGCTCCACAGGGCTAGCTGAGAAGGCCCTCTGCCTGGTTCCCTGTAACCTCACTTCTCGCAGTAAGGGAACTGCCAGAAGGCCCTCAGCGCTGGATCTCAGTGTCTGGGCCGAATGATGAGGGTGGAGACGCTCCTTCAGGTATACTGGGCCAAGGTTGTTTAGGGCTTTAAAGGTCAGCACCAACACTTTGAACTGTGCTCAGAATAAGTTACTACATGATTCTCTCTGCACAGAAGGGCACTCTGTGGTCCACACACACACACACACACACACACCCATGTGAGCATAAAACACTTAAATGTAGCGTTTGATCCCCTCCCTCTCCAGGGTTCGCTGCAATTTTCTCTCTCACCTGAGTTTCTGCCAGCTAGTTTGTTCATGAGGTAGGACTTGCCCGTTCGGTAGCGTCCCACAATGGCAACCACCACCACTGGCTGGCGAATTTCGGAGAGCAGGCGAAGGGCCTTTTCACAGACAAAGAGCTTCCTGTCCCTGTTCTCGATCAGGCAGATGGGCTCGGACATGTGGCTTTCGGGCGCCATTGCTCTCAACCTGAAAGTACTGTTTGGGGTAGGAGACAGATGGAAAACCAGGAAGAGTCACCACGGGATATATTTCATGTACACCTATGAATCAAAAATATGAGCTGCACGGATCCAGCAGCCAGAAGAATCAGAAAGATGCTATTTATTTATATTTAGAGAGATGATTTATTTATTTATTTATTTAGACAAAGTAATAATCACAAATATATAAGAATAAAAATGTGCACCCCACCCCAAAAACCATTCCATTGCAACTATCTAACCTCTCAAAATTTCAACACGTCTTGCGATGGTTTGACCCCTTTCCATTTTAACAGTATAAATTGTACAAACACTCTCCCTATCTCCTCAAAATCATTTCTCCTGCATATTCCCCATCTTACCTTAGTGACACATATTACTTTATCATTGGGACGCCGCTGGCGCTGTGGGTTAAACCACAGAGGCTAGGACTTGCCAATCAGAAGGTTGGCGGTTCGAATCCCCGAGACGGGGTGAGCTCCCGTTGCTCGGTCCCTGCTCCTGCCAACCTAGCAGTTCGAAAGCACGTCAAAGTGCAAATAGATAAATAGGTACCGCTCCAGCGGGAAGGTAAACAGTGTTTCCGTGCACTGCTCTGGTTTGCCAGAAGCGGCTTAGTCATGCTGGCCACATGACCCGGAAGCTGTATGCCGGCTCCCTTGGCCAATAAAGCAAGATGAGCGCCGCAACCCCAGAGTCGGTCACAACTGGACCTAATGGTAAGGGGTCCCTTTACCTTATCATTAATAGCTATACCCCGCCCCTCTTTATACCATTCTTCCATTTTATATTCTCCTTGCCTCTTCCACTTCCCAGCTATCATAATTTGTGCAGCTGTCAATAAATTTGTAAGCAAGTCCTTCATAGCCTGCGAACCTTCCACCCCATCGTAAATAGACAATAATGCTACCTCTGGACTTTCGGTCAGCTTTAACCCAGTGATTTCTGTTATCTCCTTAAACTCCCTTTGCCAAAAAAAATTGTACATATTTACACCACCAGTTAAGATAAGATAGATTATATAAAGATGTGCACAAGCAATGTGCAAATAAATCCATTAATAAAACACAGCTAAAAAATTTAGATGATGAAATTGATTCAGTGTTGACCATTTGTTCTGTATGCCATGAATTTATAATTTCTGGATGTTTTAATGATTTTATGCTACGCTGCCAAGTTATTATCTTTATTACTATTTGAACAACTTGATCGTTTATTGCCTTAATGTGGCGCAGCAACAAAACTGCTCGCGCATTTGCAATGCTAAGCAGGGCCAGGTATGGTTTCAATTTGGATGGGGGACCACCTGTTGAGATTCCTGCATTGACCCTCAGGGTTCCTTTCAAATCTACAATTCTCTGACTCTATGATTCTGTCATCTAGAACACGGGTAGGCAAGCTAAGGTCTGGGGGCTGGATCCGGCCCCATCGCCTTCTAAATCCAACCCATGGGAATCAGTGTGTTTTTACATGAGTTTTTTATTTAAAATGCATCTCTGGGCTATTTGTAGGGAATAGGAATTCGCTTCCCCCCCTTCAGAATATAGTCCAGCTCCCCACAAGGTCTGAGGGGCAGTGGACCAGCCCCCTGCTGAAAAAGTTTGCTGACCCCTGATCTAGAAGGTTGCAGGTCCCCCATCCCTGCATTTGTGGCCCTGAAATAATTAAAATACCATTCTCCCTTTAAACTCTGCCTTCACCTCTCTCCTCTTCCTTCGTTTTTCTTGCGTCATATTTTAGACTGTAAGGTCCTCAAGGCAAGGAGCTAACCTTCTGCAAAACACCACACATATTGAAGTTACAACAACAACAACAATATTAATATTGTTTTAATATTTTTAATTTTCTGTAAATTGCCATGGCTTTTATTGGAAATGAAAGGTGGTGTACAAACAATTTAGACAAACAATTTTTTCTGTTACTGTTATTAGGAAGAAACTATGTTCTGAGCAGTTTGTCTGCAATGAGCAAACTTCTCACCCAAGAAACTCTGGGGAGCCCGTGTTTCGAGGAACGCCGTTTCGAAACCACCAAGTTCGTGGGGTCTCCCTCCCTCCCTGTGATTACTGGGGCAGTTAAAACTTGCTTCAGTTTCCGGATCGAGGCCCTGCCTTGCCCAGAGACACACAGAGGGACCCGGAAGGTTGACTGGCCTCTTTGCAGCCTGCAAAGCAACCTCCTCCATCCCATCGCGCAAAACCACAAACCGCCGAGGGTTCGTGTGGGAATCCCCAGGCCGATTCTCACGAGACACGCACCAATGGGGTAATGGTGCCAAATGCTTCTTAGTTAGCATCATAGGAGCCAACTCCTAGGGGGCCGAGGTCCCTTCGCCCCGCCCCCCCACAATAAAATGTTTGAGGGGGTCGCGCGCCCCCCCCCACATTGCCATTCAAACGATGTGCGTGCGCCGATGTGCGTGCACCGTGCCATGTGATCGATTATGTGGTGCGAGGCTTATCTCCCCCCCTCCGCAATTTGATTGAAGTTGACACCCCTGGCTAGAACCTCTTTCCTTAGCTCATCGCCCCCCCGCCCCGCCCCCCGCAGCTTGGCGCTAAACCAGCCTCAGACGCGCGGAGACATTTGGCAGCACCTCGTAAGCAAAAAGAGCTTCGCTTCGGCGCCGCTCCAAATGGCTGGCTAAAACTAGCTCGGGTGGGGATCCCAGAATAAACAACCGGCCCTTCGCTGCCCCGTGAGCGCCGCTGCTCTGCTTTTGCATGCGCACCAGCAAACCGATCCTCCGCGCGTCTACTCGGAAGTAAACCAGACGGCGACGGCTCTCCCCCTCTCCTCTCGCGCAGGAGCGCAGCGGTTCCCAACTTTCCGGTGCAACGTCTACTCAGAAGGAAGCCTTCCTTTAACCCCACGGGGCAGGAGTGCCAACTTGGCCCCGGGGCCGTGGGTGCCATGCAGCATGCATGACCCTGGCACCGAAATTTGTGGGTGCCCAGTCCCCTTCATGGGGAATTTTGTGGGCGATGGCGCACCCACCAGGGCCCCAGGGAGTTGGCACCTATGCCACGCGGATGACTCCCGGGTAAAGAGGGCTGGGATTGCACGTGTGGATTCTCGCAGCAGGCAAACGAGGAGGTGGCTCTCCAAGCTCCGCTTCCGCGGCTGTTCAGCAACAAGGATCGTGGCGCAACTGCCGATCGCGGCGGGGTCCGCCCGAAACGTGGCCCGGGCGCTCTCCTTACCGTTCCGGCAGCAGCAGCAGCGGCGACCTCTGGCTCCCAAACTTCTCGCGCTCTCCCGCCGACCCCGCTAACTCTGGCTCCTCGCCTGCCCAGCGGGGCCTTTTGTTCGACCCAGAAATGAAAGTGAAAGTAGCTCCTGATTGTAAGCGCAGGATTCCTGGAAGAGCGGTGCCTTCCCAGCAGCGTCACCCGCGTCCTCCCTTTCTGAGTTCTTATTTGCCTTCAAGCACGGATCTGGGTGTTTCTGAACTGTTGCCAGTTATGTATGCCCTTTTATGGGCGTGTGTTCTGTATTATTCTATTAATACTATTGCCTAGTGCCAGTTTGTTGTGGACTTTGGCTAGAACAATAAACTCATGAACTTTTTTTAAAAAAATTTTTTATTCAAAGTTATAACAAAACATATTTTCCAAAAACATATCCTTATTCCCCCACCCCCCACAAAACCCTAAAAGTTTTTTTTGGGGGGGAGTAGTAGGCTGTTTAATGCCCAAGTCCTAATTCCTGGGCTCCTAGACCCACAGCAAGGGTTAAAATCTGGTATGAACTAGCCAGGCCATCTTCTTGGTGACGTACTGGGGAAACTGTATGCCAGCTCCCTCAGCCAATAAAGCGAGATGAGCGCCGCAACCCCAGAGTTGTCTGCAACTGGACCTAACGGTCAGGTGTCCCTTTACCTTTACCTATAACAAAGGGAAGTAGTTTTGTGCCAAATGGGTGCTCCTCCTCCCTCACCTGGCTGGTAGGGGCAGCAGAGTCATGTGTGAGAGTTGGAAGTGGCCTTCAGGCAGAAGCCAGGGAAGGAGAGCCATGCTTGACTTCTGTTGTCAGGATGGGTGGGCGGGTGGGTGTGTATGCAAATAGCTAAATATGCAAATAGGGGTGGCTTTGTGGTCTAAACCAGTGTTCCCCAACCTTGGGTCTCCAGCTGTTTTTGGACTACAACTCCCATCATCCCTTGCTAAACAAGACCAGTGGTCAGGGATGATGGGAATTGCAGTCCGAAAACAGCTGGAGCCTCTTGGGCTTGCCGATCAGAAGGTCAGCGGTTCGAATCCCTGCAACAGAGTGCGTTCCCGTTGCTCTGTCCAGCTCCTGCCAACCTAGCAGTTTGAAAGTAACTGCAAGAAATAATAATTGAAAGATTAATAAGTATGCTATGTACATTCCATGTGCAAGTCATTCCTTTGATCTTGTTGGTAGAGCAGCAGTTAACTGTTGCTTAGATGCAGTAAACTTTTTGGAATTGTTCAAGAAATATATGATTTCTTTTCATCATCTACACATAGATGGGCAGTGCTGTTGTTATTATTCAAAGATGATTCAAAAGCTCCTTGACCGTTATGGTGGAATAATTTCTGCATTGCATCAGCTGCATATTGATACCACAGAGAAGGGTGAAACAAGAAATCAAGCCACCAACATTTGAATAAAACAGAGGAACCTGAATTTATGGTAATGTTATATTTGTGGAGTTATTTGCTGGATGAATTTCACAAGGCTAGTCAATCACTGCAAGACCCCCAAATTAGCCGAGATGCATGTAGTAAATTGTATGCTTCACTTTCTGATTTTGTTAAAGGTCCCAGAGATCTTTTTGATCATTTTGAAGAACAGGTAAAGGACAAATTGCCTGATGTTGATGACAAGAAAAGCAGAAGAAGATAATTCTAGAAGGAGACATACAGGTGAAGCTTTAGAGAACCTTGAACCAAGAGACAAGTTCAGAATCAAAGCATTTATACCTGTGATGGATGCATTAGAATCAAATCTGGCACAAAGGGCATCAAAAAAGTTTTCATTCTGAACAAAATTAGATGCTACAGAAGAAGAGATTCGTGAAGAAGTTAATGCTTTAAGCTAAACATATCTTGAAGATGTGGACTCTCCTTGCTGGAGTACTCAAGCAAAATATCAGCATAGATGAAAAAAATAGAGGAATAAAAGTAGGTAGTTAGGAATTTAAATTGAAAGCATTTGCTGATGATTTAGTAATTACAGTAGAAGATCCAATTACGTAGCTTGAACAGGTTATATATAAGATACAAGAGTTTGGACAAGTTGCTAGTTTCAAACTCAATAAAAATAAGACGAAATTATTAGTTAAAAATACCCCAAAACAGGATAAAGAAAAATTCAACAAGAAATAGGCAGAAATATACATAACAAAGTGAAATAGTTAGGGATATGGTTAACACCAAGGAATATTAATATATATAAAGATCATTATTTTAAAAAATTGGAAAGAAATAAAAAGGAAATTATAAATTTGGATAGAATGAACCTATCACTATTAGGAAGAATATCCGTTATCAAGATGAATGTATTGCGAAAAAACGTTTTTATTCCACTCAATTCCAGTGATAAGTAATATGGTATGTTTTAAAGATTGGCAAAAGGATGTTTCAAAATTTATACTGCAGGGCAAGAAGCCGAGAATAAAATATAAACTATTAACAGATACAAAAGAGGAGGCTTCTCACTGCCAGACCTGAAATTAGACTATGAAGCCTCATGCATTTGTTGGATTCGAGAATGGATCAAATTAAAACATTTATTAGATCGCGAAGGGTATGATAATAGATTTGCTTGGCATGCCTACTTATGGCATGCAAAAGCCAGAATACATCAAAGTTTCTGAAATCATAGAATAAGGAAAGCAATAAAGTATAAAAGATTATTGGACCAAAAAACACCATGGTGGCTTTCCCCTATAGGGGCAATATCAAGGAAAAAATAAAAAATGGACACTGAATGGGCCACGTATAGAGAGTTGTTAAATGAATCAGAAAATCAATTAAAATTGAAAGAATTTAATGAAATTAGAGAGAAAGTAACAGATTGGTTGCAATACTTTCAGCTAAATGAAACATTTAAGATTGAGAAAAAGAAAGGATTTCAGTACAAAATCTCAACTTTTCAGAGAGAAATAATAGAAAATGATAGAAAATTGATTTCCAAAATGTGCAATCTGTTGCTAGAATGGGAAACAACAGATGAAGATGTTAAATCAGTCATGATCAAATGGGCACAAGATGTGGGACACAATATACAGATGGAGGACTGGGAAAAAGCATGGAAGACTGAAATAAAATTCACTGCATATGTGATGATTAAAGAAAACTACATGAAAATGATGTCTAGATGGTACCTAACTCCAGTAAAATTAGCAAAAATGTACAAAAATAAAGAAAGTAAGTGTTGGAAATGTAAATCAGCAGGGCATTTTTTCATATGTGGTGGGATTGCAAAATTGTTAAGAAGTACTGGGAAATGATTTATAATGAAATGAAGAAGAAGTTCAAAATAACTTTTGTTAACAAACCAGAAGCTTTCCTCTTAGGTATTATAGGAGTGGATATACCGGGATCACAAAAAGACTTACGGTACTTTTCTGTCTATAAGATGCCCCCATCTATAAGACACCCCCTATTTTGGGGGACTCAAATTTAAGAAAATGGGGGGGTAGCTCAGAGTGGTTGAGCTTTTTTGTGGAGGATTGCCCAGAGTTTTACAGCTTTTATGGCAAAAAATGCTCACACGCAGCATCAACGCTGACAATCATCGGCAGCCGACAATCGCTCACTTGCCACAGTGACAGCTAATCGCAAACAGACCCTTCCCCAGCAAAAATATCTTAATACATTGGCAGGATTTTAGAAAATACTTGTAATGACATAAAATATTATTTAAAAGGAGAACTGAAGCAATATGTTAGACATAGTCAAAGCCATGAACATGATAATCTGACACATCAGGATCTGTACCAAGTAATATTTAATTACCATGTCCAATCAGCATTCCCTAATGTAGAAGCAATTCTGAGAAAGCATCTCTTCTCTCTGGAAGGGAGGGCTTCCCACACTCACAGGGGGGGCATGGCCAGGTCCCTGTGTCACTGGAGTCCTGGGACCACGTCATGCACCCCAGCCAGCCAACCCGTCTGGCTGGGGGGCGTGGTTTAACCATTTTTAAAATGGCCACGATCCCATGAGCTCTTCCTTGTTGTTCCGGCTTATTCGGATCACCAGCCCTCCCTCCCTCTAGGTTTTGCTTCAGCACCTGACCTTGCTATTGACCTTGGTTGGTCGCCTTGGTTGTCCAAGGGGCCTGCTAGGAATTTCTTCCACTTGGCAGATTGGCACCAGCCACTTGGTTTTTTCGCCTACCTCGTAGCAAATCGTCCCAACTTTGTAAGGTTTGGCAGCTAGGCATTGGAAATGTGCTGTGTGTTGGAGGGGAGGTTGTGGCCATCACCTACTGCTCCCCTTGAAGGGTATTCCGTTAAAGGAATCTGGCGGTCGTGGTTCCTGTCCGATGCCCAGGTGGTGACTAGGGCCATGGCACAACCCTCTGGTGACTCTAGGGGAAAGCTTCCAGTTGATTTGCACGAGGTTGTTAACCCTCGTGTGACTCCTGCAGAGTGGTCAGGAGTCAAGTATAGTGTGTTTGGATCCCAGTGCCTAAGCCAATACCACTCACATTCTGTAACCAATAAAGTTGTGGCCTTTTTTAGCCCATTAACCTAAAATACTTCTGTCTATGTGTCTTATTTCATTCCAAAGCAGGGAGGCGGGGCCTCGACTCACAATGTTCCTTTGTATGATGATTACAAATTCCTTTGGGAAAGATCCTTTTCTCAGCTGAAGAGGATAAAAATGAATTTAGAACAACAATGTCTCAAGATAAATTATGTTACCTCAGCCTTATGTGCATAGAAAGTGACAAGCAACAAAGTTTATCATTTGAAGATATCATCAGTGACTTTGCTTTGGCAAAGGCAAGGAAAGTATTGTTAATTTAGAACATGTTTGTGTACTGTTTGCTTTTGAACTGCTAGGTGGGCAGGAGCGGGAACCGAACAACGGAAGCTCACCCCGTCGTGGGGATTCGAACACCGACTTTCCTATCGGAAAGCCCTAGGCTCAGTGGTTTAGACCACAGCGCCACCTGCGTGCCCCACCTAAGCATCTCTAAAATCCTGGTGCCCCCCATCTATTCAAAAAGTAAGCTCCTATTCAGGTAGAGGAAGCCTAAAAAGGCCATTAACTGTTAATAATCGTTCTCAAATTGCCCCCTTAAAAATCAAATTGCCCCCGTGTGGTGGCGTG